TGGGACAGTATGAAAGTAAGGCCATATTTTTTAATTTTCAGTTATCCTCGCTACACTTAATGACCTCCGTTTCAACAAAGACATGAGTTGGTTTGGAGATGAACTCGTTGTACACCCATTTGACTTGAGGTCACCCTCACAGTACAATTTGCAGTCAAGGTAACAGGACCTGCTATGTGAATCACAGGTCTACTCTTGAGATTGTTGTTCAAAGCCCTTCTCTTACTTACAAAATGAAAGTGTGTTTGTATGTATGCTAACATAAGTCTGATTTGAATTTTTAAGTTGCTCCATATGCCACAAGTTGTATTTGTTTGTTGCTATTGTTTTTATTTTTATTTTGAAAACATAGCAAACTATTGGAGTGTTCAGTTATGATGTGAGCGTGACAGGTGGAGAAGTTGAAATTGTCTTCAGTAGCCTCGTCTTGGAGCTTGTTTTGAATCAGAGTCAAAGCATTTAGAGAATTTGTTAGGGTGAAAACCATGTAGCAGTTCAATAATAGGAAAGGATTTTAACTACAGCAGCAACATTTTGAAAAGTCTTAGGCTGAAGACACGTTAAGAACATAATCAATACTCCATTCTGAGGGAATTTGGGGTCTTTAAAGGGAAATCAATTTACCCCTTACTGTGGCTTATTTTGCATGACTTTTTAAGATAATTCATTCTAATAGTTTTGATTTTCCTCACTGCACACAGACTTTAAAATATAAGTGAACATATAACCATCGGGGTTCCTTTTGCCAAGCTGGCTGCATGTTTTACCTCCTGTTTTTTGGTGTTTTTGTTTGTTTGTTTTCAAATAAGATGAATGTTTGAGCCTATTGATAGTAGAGTGGGAAACAAAACAGGCTGTCTCCTCAGAACGTGATTTGTACACATAAACTGGCTATTCATTCATAAGTCCATGTGAAATTCAATCAATCAGTCAACAAATATTTTTTGTGTGCCAGCCACTAGCCTAGGCACTGAGGATACAGTAATAGACAACACAACCCTTTCCTTCATGAAATTCACATTCCAACTGGGGAGACAAATAATAAACAAATAAATAAGCAAAGTATCTAGATAACAGATCATGAAATGCTATGAAGAAAACCAAGCAAAGAAAGTAGATAAGAAATATTGGCTGGAAGGGGCTTTAAAAAGGGTTGTTGTTGTTATGTGCGGCCACATCAGTTCTGGCTCATAGTCATAGCGACTGGTGAGCTTGAACTACTGGCCTTGCAGTTCAAACTAACCTTGCAGTCCAGCTCATCAACCCACAGAGTCACAGCAGGACTCCTTACAAAGGGTACATGACATTTTTTTAGCAGGGACCTGAGACAGTAATGAAGCAAGTCATGCAGTTATCTGGGAAGGAATATTGCAAATAGAGGAAAGAGTACATGCAAAGACTCTGAGGTGAGAACATAACTGTCCTGTTGAAGGAAAAATATGTCAGCAAAGCAGGCATGTGCTTAGGATAGAGAGAAAGAGAGAGTGATCCCGAGCCTTGAATGTCCTTGCCAATGCCAAAGACTCATCGTGCCCTAGGCCTTTGGAGAGTTCATGCCACTATCGTTGGTTTAGCTTGGTAGCAGATCTACAGCAGTGATGCCATCCCTGGCACCGTCCCTAACCTCCAACAGGAAGTTGAATTTCTTACTCTAGAATCAGTGCATTGGTCTACCATAATTCCCATCCAGCAGTACAAAAGGCTTGGTTGAGAGATCAGATATTCACTTGTCCATCAAAGCCCCCATTCAAATAGCTGTGATAACTGGTGACTCAGTTAGAAAGGACTGATGGAGGCAAGACTGAAGTTAGAACTCACATCTTACAGAATGCATGGGTAAGTCCAGTTCAGCATCTCAGAGAAGTAAACCATTGTTCTAATGAGAAATCATGACTGGAGCCAAGTGAACAAATTGATATTAAAATGTGCCTTACTTAAAGTGACACTAATATTCGAAAGTCTGGATTTTTTTAAAAAAATCTGTGAAGTCTAACTCTAAAGTTGGTGGATGTCTTTCTAGACTTTGCAACATGCATAAGAGACAACAAGAAGAAAACCTGGTGAAGGAACTGATCAAACTAGAGGGAAGCTCATTCCCAACACTACTAAACACTGGAGAAAAGGATTTCTCCTATACTGCTTCTAAACAGTAAGTTACCTCCAGACTCATTATTTTTTAAAAAAAAGCATAAGTTCTCTGAAAAACAATATTATAACATAAATTTAAAAACAGTATTAATGTGTCAGTGCCATGGTAGTTTAGTCATTTCATCTCTGAGTACACAGGTCATAACGTACACTTGATCTCTTTAAATTGGCATATTCAGTGCAAAATATGTAAACTCATAATCAGAAATTACAAGGCTCTCATTAACTATAAGTTTCGTAATATAGTAGCAGAAAACGACATTGTTTTCTTCAAAAGTACCATTTCTGAAACTGTAAGGCATTGTGTTCCAGCCACCATTTTTTAGATCATTTCTTAGTTCATACTAAGAGTGAAAACAGACTTCCTTATATAACATTTCTACTTTAGTTCTGTTAAGAGTGAGCAGAAAATTCTCAAGTGTGATTCATTCTCTAGTTAATCTCCTTTACCCGTCATAAAATAAAACCTTTTATTATCAAAGATCAAATCTTTCCAGTTTAATTTTTAACTTGTTTTTTTTTTGTTGTTGTTTTGGGTTTTTGGTTTTTTTGTTTTTTACCATTGCCCTTTCTAAAATTCTCCAGTGCTGTCATTTTCAAATACTATTTCTTAACTTGGGTTGAAGAATTCTGTTTTCCAAGAGGCTGGTAATGTGATGTGTGCACCAGTGTAAATTGAAGTTCTTCACCATCCCAGAATTGTTGAGTTTGACCTTTTATGGATGAATTAAATGAATGGAATGGGAGTGCATTTAAAATCAACCAGAGTTGGAATCACAAGATTCTTACCCTTCTTTTTTTCCCTACATTAAAATGAAAAAATAAAAACTTCCCTTTATATACTTAAACATGTAGGGAAGAATACCCTACATTCCATTACACATTGAAATATTCCAAGAAACAGGAACATGATCGAATTTTAGAAGTTGTCATATTTTATAGCACCTCATTTCTGAGTAGTGGGTTAAATCTGTATTATAATATTATGCATAATTTATCCATATGGCAATAATAATAATAGCTAACATTTACATACCAGATATGATGCTAAATAGCAGAGACAAATAAAGAAAAAGACAGACTTGAGCCATGTCTTTATGAAGTTTATAGAAGAGGACCACACATTTCTGATCATTATCTGTGTTTTATCATTGAAGAAATAGTCTTAGAGAGGCAATTAATTGCCTGAGGCCATTAAATGGCAATTAACTGTAAAAGGCAGACCTAAAACTTGAATCTGGTCTACCTTTCTCTAAAACACTGCGCTCCTCGAACATCTGATTAAATCCAAAGGCTGAAAGAAGCAGAAGAGCCCATTCTTAAAGGGTTCCTGTTGACTCAAAAATAATCCTTGGCCATTCTAAGATCAAGTCTTGGAGGGTCTCTTGAGGACTTTGATGCTGTTCCCTTAGAGGTGGCACAAACACAGGAAGTATTTTACATGTTAATGGACTCTCAGGGTAAATAGGCTGCTAAACCCACAGAGTTCTGCAACTCTGAATCCTAAACTACATAAACACTCTAAAAATATTCTAACCAGGTCTCCTTCTACCTACTGCCACCAGGACAATATTTACCTGATGTCAACCACAGACAAGAATCCCTTCTATTCTTCTTGGGGATCTTTTAATGAATGAATGCTAATGTCCTAATGAATGCTTACTTACCTTTTTCACAGAATCACCTCTGCCCCTATGGAAGGTTTTTCCACATTCCACTTCAGATTTCCACTCAGATATTAAAGAGACCAACTGTTCAAACCTGAAATGTGTAGAAAAGAAAATCCCCTACAGTGCTTGACTGAAATGAGCTATTAAACAAAATAATCCACATTTTATTTTAATAATGTTGAAATAAAGTAAAATTATTTATTGACATACACTCTTCTTTGGTGTGGAGGACTGTTTTATTCTTTTAAAACAATGTTGTGAAAATGAAACAGAATTTCCATCACAGGGAGTGAGGAGAATGTATCTGTTTGCCTAGCACTCTTTAAGGGGATTCCATTGGTCAAAATGACTAACTATGGTAAGAATTCATCAAAGAAAAGAAAAAACAAAAGTGTACATCTTTCTAAATTAAAATGAAAACAATATTAAATAGGAACGAAGTGGCTCCTTTCGTGAGTGAGAAACCATGTTTTAGTAGTTTAAAGACATTTTGAGTTTCACCATCTCCCTCCCTTCTCCACTCTATCCTATCCCATCCTGCACACTCATTTAACCAATAAAAAGTTATTTTCTAGAAGTCCCTGGGTAGTACAAATGGCAAACAGACTTACTTTGCTGCTAATCAAAAGCTTGGCAGTTCAAACCCACCCAGAGGCTCCTTAAAAGAAAGATCTGGAGAATTAGTTCCTGTAAATCAGTCACTGAAAATCTTATGGAACACAGTTTAACTCTGACACTCCTGAGGTTGCCATGGGTCAGATATTTCTCGCCTTTCTTCTCTACAGAGTTTTTGGTCATCTCACTTGGCTTGATTGAGGTGTGTAAGTGAGTGAACAGGGCTCAACCAGCAGCTTGCAAGCAGATTTCAAGGCAATGAAACCCACTCACTTGTTATTTTCTACCTTAATCTCTCAATCAAGTCAATAAATACATGCTAAATTTGAATTTGGATCATGGCACAAGGTGTAACCTGCCACAGTGATTTTTTTTTAACTTCGTTTTAGAGTATCAAAATCATCTTGATCTTTGGTCTAGTAAATTGCCCAAGAAAATTGGCATTAGTGGCCTAACAGTGGCTGGAGGTGGCCGGCTGAAGACGGAGGCAGTATTTTCCTATCCAGATCAGTGGTGTTGAGTAGATGAAGAGGCAGCAGCCGGCTCACATCTGGATAGGTGTCTGTGTCAGGAGCGGTAGGCCGCAAAGTCTCGCGCCGGAGCATAAGGCTGGTAGTGTTTGCGGGTGGGTCCGGGCCTCCGGGGAGTCGTGTTCATGTAATCACTCTGAAGGATCCTGCTTCTCTTATTCTTTCTCTGCCAAAAAGAGAAGCGTCAATGTGGAGGGTGTCGGGGACATAGAGGGATCTGTATTGGGAGTTGCTCTAAGATGAACAAAAACTAAAATTAAAACCTATTCAGAACATCAGCTATCAAATTAAACAATATCCTCATTCCTTAAGTATTTTTAACTCAAATCCAGCAGATTTAATTTGGACTCTTCAAAATTAACATAAAAAATCAGAATCAAAGGGAATATTTTAGAAAAATGCATTCCTATTATTCTCAATATAATCATTTGACCCAAATTCTAAAAATATATATCCACTGTTGCTATGTTGTTGTTGTTGTTGTTAAGTGCCTTCTCATAGTGACCCTGTAAAGGATTTCCGAGGAGCGGCTGGTGAATTTGAACTGCCGGCCTTGCGTTTCAAACTGACCTGACGCCCAGTGTTATCAACCCACAGCGCCACACTGTTGCTTTATCTAATTAATATACCCATTGTTGATATGTAAATGTACTTGAAGACTCTTGCTTCTTTGAACAGGTCAAGAATCACCACAGCAATTTTCTTATTATTAGTCATTTGCTTAACAAGTTTTACATAATTAATCAAAGATGACCTTCAGCTCATCCAGAATCTGGAATAATCATAAATTCATAATTGTTGCTGTTTAAGTGCCATCTAGTTGGTTCCACTCATAGTGACCCTTTCTGAGGAGTGGTCATTGAACTTGAACCGCCGACCTTGAGGTTCAAACTGACTTTGCAGTCCAGCGCATTAACCCACAGCGCCAAACCAGGACTCCAAATTCCTAATTGTTGTTAATAGTGGAATCCAAATTAACCAGGATTTATAGTTCCATTCAACTAGCTGTAGTCCTAATCCCGTATGTGTATGTATTTCCGTAAAGATAATAGTGTTTATCATCCCTATTCCTCAAGCTCAACTCCCTCAGTATGAATTCTCATCAGCAATGAGGAAGGAAAATAGGGGCAATACTGAATATGGAGCAAGGGCTAAATCATCATGAGTCTCACCATAGTTTGTACTGAGAGTTACTAGCATCCTTGCTGAACCAATGTGGTAAAATTCCCACTTCTGGCAAATAATTCATAAAATTCTAAAAACAGAAAGTCAGCCTGATATCTGGAATCAGGATTCTCTATTATGGGGGGTGGGGAGAGCCAATTTCCTGGCACATAGGCCTGGCACATAAATATGTGCTGCACACAAATGACCTTAATGCCTGAATAAATAAATTGTTGTTGTTGAGTGCCATCGAGTCGGGTCCGACCCATAGCGACCCTGTACAGGGTTTCCGAGGGTGTAAATCTTTACGGGAGTAGAAAGCCTCATCTTTCTCCCGCGGAGCGGCTGGTAGTTTCGAACCGCTGACCTTAAGGTTCGCAGCCCGATTCGTAACCACTACGCTACCAGAGCTCCTTGAATAAATAAATAACACCAAGGATTTCAGCACTGGTCTTATTTCCATGCCCTCCTTCCTAAACCCCTCATACCGTCTTTGTCAGAGGGCATGAATGTCAGCATTAAAGAAAGGTTTGAAAAACAATGACCTTTAGGTAACTAAACCCAGCTGGCATGTTTATAGTCTTCCTATTCCTGAGCTCTGAACAGACGCCAATCCTACTGATAATTCTCTCCATTTTGAAACAGTGTTCCCTTCGGCCATCTGTGATATAGCTCGGTTCTGGTTTTCATCCTACCTTCCTGACCACTTCTTCTTTGACTGTTGTGAGCACATCCTTCAATAATTAGCCATTCAGTGTAAGAGTTCCTCCTCATAGACTGGTCCTAAGTCTTCTTCTGTACTCACTCTACACAATATCATTCACAGTCACAGCTTCAATTACCACCTACTTACAGAATTTTAACTCTGGATTAGACTTCAAAGGCACTTCAAACTCAAAATGTCCAAAATTAAATTCAGCATCTTCCCACCAAATCTGGCTCTCTACCAATGTTTCCCATTCAATGAATGACATCCATACAGTTGCTTAAGCTAGAAACATTAAGTCTAATCCTTGACAGCTTCCACACCTTTAGTCCCTTTTTACCAAATCCTCCCATTTTAACTAAATCTCCTTGGACTGCATCAACCCTTCTCTGTCTCCACCACACCCCTTCTGTTTCCAAACTATCACCAATAATCGCAGGAGCTGCTTCAGCAGTCTCTTCACTGGAGTCCAGCTTTTACTCTTGCCTCTTTTCACCATTTCCATGCCATAGCCAAGATACTTTGGAGCTGGGCTTTGAAGGATGAGTAGAATTATAAGAGCGAAAAAAATTAATATACTAATTGAAGAAGACAGCATTAAGTCAGAGGTAGAAAATGTCTGAATTGAGAAGACTTATTTAGACAGGGAAATTATAGCAGATAACCATGATGTTCTCAATAAATTAGGAGTTGAAACCTGCTCCTGAGAATATAAATAGCAAATGAGGACAAGGGGCTTTAAAAGCACAGAGAGGTTTAGAAGAAATTTCTAAGGAAGTAAGCCCCAAAATATTAAAATTCTAAGGTGATATGGCCTCTTGAATATTAAGAAAAGAGAACAATTATTATTAATCATATTTTTAATAGTAGTAGTATCAATGATATTGTCAGACTCATAACCATCCTGAATAGGATTTCTAAGGCTTTAAATCTTTGCTGGGACAAAAAGCCTAACCTTTCTCTCCACAAGTGACTGGTGGGCTCCAACCACCAACCTTGTGACTTGCAGTCCAATGCTTATCCATCCCAGGGAGCCACTGAGCTCACCTATATGTATCAATGATAGTATTGTTTTGTTAAGTGCCATTGAGTCTGTTCCAACTCATAGCAGGGTTTGTAGGGTTTCCAAGGAGTGGTTGGTGGGTTTCAACTGACAAATTTGTGTTTCAAGCCAATTTGATGGTCCAGTGCTTATCCTACAGCACCACACCAGAACTCCTAAATTCAAGTGACTAGCAAAAGCATCTATCATTCATCTATCAGTTTGTCATACTGTGGTGACATGTTTTGCTGTAATTCTGGAAGATATGCCACCAGAGTCACCCATGATTGGCAGGTTTCAGCAGAGCTTCCAGACTAAGACAGTAGGAAGAAGGAGAGGCAGACCACTTCTGAATAGTTAGCCACTGAAACTCTTATCAATAGCAGTGGAACATTGTCTTATATAGTAGTGGAAGATGAAACTCGCAAGTTGAAGAGCACTAAAAATATGACAGGGAAAGTAGAGTTGACCTTAATATCATAGATGGAGAAAAGCTTTGATGAGGCACAACTCAAATGAGACTGAACAACTGCAAATTTTCATTAATAATCAGAAAGTGAAATGTATGAAGTATGAATCAAGCAGAATTTCAAGTCATCAAAAATGGCACACGTAAAGATCAGTATCCTAGATGTTGTTGTTGTTGTAGTTGTTAAGTGACATCGAGTTAGTTCTGACTCATAGTGACCCTGTATAGGATTTGCCAGGAGGAGCTGATGAGTTCGAACTGCCAAACTTGCTGTTCAAACTGACTTTGCAGTTCAGTGCATTATCCTGGAGCACCACACCAGAACTCCATCCTAAGCATCAGTGAACTGAAATTGACAGGTATTGACAATTTTGAATCCGACAAACATGTGGTTTATTATGCTGGGGATGTCAAATTCAAGAGGAATGAAATAGGGCATTTCAGCATCTATTTTGAAGTATGACGCTGTCTGTAAAAGCATAATATCCAGGAGCTCTGGTAGCGTAGTGGTTACGAATCGGGTTGCAAACCACAAGATCAGCAGCTAGAAACTACCAGCGGTTCCATGGGAGAAAGATGAGGCTTTCTGCTCCTGTAAAGATTTACAGCCTCAGAAACCCCGTACAGGGTCACTATGAGTTGGAACTGACTCCACAGCACATAACAACAACAACAACATAAGAAAAAACAATTAATACCACTATTATTCAAACTTATGAAACAACCAGCAGTCAAGAAATCACCCTAGGCAAATCTGTTGCACAAGATCTCTTTAAAGTGTTCGAGAGTAAAGATGTTACTTTGAGGACTAAGGTGCACCTAACCCATTTTTAATCACTTCATATGCATGTGAAATTTGAACAATGAATAAGGAAGACTATGGAAAAACTGATGCATTTGAATTATGATGTTGGTGAAGAATATTGGAAATAACATGGACCGCCAGAAGTAAAAATAAATCTGTGTTGGAGGAAGTAGTGACAGTGTTCCTTAGAGGCAAGGATGGTGAGACTTTGTCTCTTGTACTTTGGTCATGTTGTCAGGAGTCCCTGGAAAAGGTACCATGCATGGTAAAGTGGAGGGTCGGTGAAAAAGACACCTGAGGTGGATAGACACAGTGACAGCAGCAATGGGCTCAAACATAACAACATTTATAAGGGTGGTACAGGACCAGGCAGTGTTTCATTCTATTGTGAATCAGAACTAACTTTACCAAACTTAACATCAACAACAGCAACACCCTTATAATAAGAACACTCTTATGCCAAACTAATTTGTATTTTTCAAGTTATTCAAAAATGTTTTCACGTTCCTATTAGTAGTAATTCACTTGAGGTGTATCAAACACACTAGTGACAATAAGAATGATATAATAAGATGATTGATTTGGGAAGATTAATCTGGCTGCTATGTACGTTGTTGTTGTTGTTAAGTGCTATCAAGTCTATTCCAATCCCTAGCTACCCTGTATAGGGTTTCCAAGGAGCAGCTGGTGAGTTTGAACTGCCAACATTGCATTTCAAACCTACTTTGCATCCCAGCACATTAACCCACAGCACCACATCAGGACTCTGCAGTTATGTAAAGACACATCAATGGTAAGAGAGACCACAAGTGGGGGAAATAATCACACTATAACATTTTTTACTCACCCAGGGTGATTTTGTGTGTTTATCCCCTCCCCACCAGAGGACAGATAATGTTTGTAGACATTAGGTTGTCACACTTTGGAGATAACTTACTCATGTCTAGTGGTGAGAAGCCACAAATCTTACTGAATACCCA